AGGCACTCACTTAACATACATACATACAAACATATTCTTATTTCGCTAGATGCCTCTGGTTAAGGTGACCATATTTATTTTTCCATAAAAGCTAACAGATTATAAGACCTTCTTCAACGATACTATATTTATTACACGTAAAACATACATATATTGTAGGATATTTTTAGGGATTTTTACCCAGCAAAATTTTTTTCCAATGTTCCTTGGCATGAAAGCATGTTGAAAATATCCAACAACTTTTGAAGGGCGAATGGTATTCAGCGCATTATGTTCCCATCCGGAATGAGGGATCCACTTCCCTTCCTAACTTTGAGAACTTCTTTACTTTTACACCATTCTCATGGTAGCTTTCTTCTTTGGAGTTTCTCATGTTGAAGATACTCTGCATACAATCAGCAATATCTTTTTGGCGTAGTTTCACCTAAAGAGTAAATTCTCTCATAAAAAATGTTAAATCTGCCCCCACACCAAGGCACTTTGGACAGCAAAAACTGCAATCTGTTTGTAATTTGTTGTTTTTTTTTTTGGAATCCATATACGTCAGTTCAAATGACAATTTCATTAGACCTTGCAGATCCATTCTGGTACCTCTGTAAATCACGGGAACCACAGCGACTACTTTCCATAGAACCATTTTCAGGCTTTTCTGAAGCGTAGGGTTGGTTTTATTCCTACACCGGATAGTTCCATAAGAGAACTAAAGAAGTGCCTATTCTACTCTTTGCTAATGCTGAGCAACTATAGAAGAAGTGCTTAGTTGTTTCTTCCTATTCCTCATCTCTGAAACTTCTGCCGTATTCATGGGAGTACCTAACAAATAGCCAATGGCAGGATACAGACAAATACAGTACTTTAAAAGAAATACAGAACATTTGGTGTCCGGTATATAAAAAAAAAAATATATTACCAAAACAATTGTTGAAAAAAAGAGGACTGTCCCGTACAATACAGTGCGGATGGTCACCGTACCCAGTGGCGGATTTATCGTACAGGCAACATAGGCTGAAGCCTAGGGCGGCAGAATTAAGGGGCGGCAAAATTTAAGACAGCTAAATTAAAAGAAAAAAATTTATTTGGATTCAGCTGCACTTGAAATTGTGTTTGTGTCTGTAAAATATTATTAATGATTCATCTCATTCAATACAATTCAAAATTAGAATTACGCTGCGAATTTTTCCTTAGTATAGCAGTCGTTGAAATTTCCATTTAACTTTCATTCACGCGGCTTAGGAACCCGACGGCGCGCCTGCGCGTGACGCAAAGAAACAGCCGACACGCTGCCCCGAGAACGAGAATCATCTAAAAGGTTACCACACTTGACAACACTGCCGAAAAACGAGCGTGCATTTTCGAGAAAATTCTTGATTCCAAGCCCACCAGTTTTTCATAAGTGTATCATAACGTGAATAATCTGAAGGTCAGCTTCCGTTTTATGTCAAATTAGGCAGTGTATCTGTGTATGGTCTTCTGTTTGTCTTGCGCGAGGTCAAAAAATCTTCCGGATGAGCGATTTTATTTTGTATACTCGCATAGCGCTACTTCAATGTCCTAATAATTGGATTCTACTTGTCCAAACCTCTAAAGCATTTCAGTGCAGTTTTAAAACGCGTGAAAAAACTATCTCAGATCTTCACTGAGCGAAAACAAACTGAATGCTCTTGCGTTGCTGACTATAGAGTCAGATTTGTTTCTATCTATCGATTGTGAAGATATTATCCGCGAATTCGCAGCTGAAAAATCAAGACGTAAAGAACTGTGAAAAAAGAAGTGTTTGAAAGAGGGTTTTTGTTGAATACCTTATCCATGCTGATGTCGAATTTGTTAATTCCGTTATGTATTTCATTATTAACGAACTATATTGTAATAAAGCACTGACAATAACAATCATATTTGATATATATATATATATTTTTTTTTTCGTGAAAAAAGGGCGGCAAGTTATGAATTGCCTAGGGGCGGCAAATATTTAAATCCGCCACTGACCGTACCTATGCTGGAAAAAATTAATACCCTGCAGAAAGTCCGCGGATCTGTGTATTCAGTACTGCGACTACTAGTTACCGGTTAGCCACAGCAAAGCTTCAGTTTCCGAAAAATATCTCGGATTTAGATGATAAAAGATATACTAAGTAGACTGGTTTAAAAGGATCCCATTTTCTTTCCAAACTGTAAAATCGTCTAATCTCAAATACATACATAGCTCCATCTTTTTGTTTTTTCTATATGCCACTTTTCCTGCTGGGTATTGTTTTTGTACGTAATATATATATGGAAATAAATTTACTGTGAGATATGAATGTACATAAGTGCTGTGTATTGCGGGTTTGCCTCTTCATCATCTGTGGTATCCTGCACCACTTGCCTTCCATGGCCTGTTCGCGGTAGCACTTTGCCGGTGCCAATTTCGCGCTGCAGTCCAAAAAAGCACTCGATGGAGAATGCAAATGGAAAAGTACTTAAACGCAAACCAAATATTAATCTTGGCTGTGTAGTGTAGTAGGTAGAGTTGGCAAATTTATGTCTACAAATGTCTCACATTGTTTGGCCATAACGCGACGCTAATTTTGCCTGTCAAAAGATTGTCTCAGCGTCTGCCAATATAGTTTCGAGTTTTTATAAGATGGTGTTTTGAAATGTCGCTGTGGGGAATTACTTGTTTTGAGAGCGTAATTGAAACGAATGGCATTGTAAGGGCAGTACTTCTCGAAGAAATGATCGGATTTTATATAGTCAGATATTAAAATTACTTACTTATTTTATCGGAAATCTTCAATGTTGGTTAATTTTAAAGGACAATTTTCGTTTTCTCATTGATCTGCGTGGTCCATATGGCTTGTCGTTTCTGCCTCCCTTTTCTTTCGCGCATAACGACAAGATGGATGCTTCTATTATTTGATCTAGCCGTTTGCAAGGCTCATCAGTTTTACTATATAAGACATCCATCAGAATCATCACAGGTATTCCCGCTCTACACTCACAACAAGGTGCTTATAATAAGTAGGTTGTAGTGTCTGGGATGTCATTATCCTGATCCTCCGACCGGTATCCTTAATATTGTTTCCCAAATTTATATTACGAATACCCAAATATACTTAGATATTATTCTGAGGTAATGTCTACCTTAGCATAAGTCTTTTCGTCTAAAAAAAAAACAATATTTTTTAGTGTTCCCATTCTAATTAAAACCTGATAACGGGGCAGGGTCTAAGGACTTTTGTTGGCCCTTCTGAAGAGTCGAACTCTAGGCCTTGTAGGCTGGCGGAAAATAATTCCAAAACATATCATATGGTCGTCATTTGTTAAAACTTTACTCCTACACGGATTGCTTCACGGTGATTTCAAAAATGAAATCGGTGTCTTTGTACCGGCTACCAATTTCGAAAAACCCGGGTTTTAGGACCGGTTGTCATGTTTGTTATTTCGAAAATGAAATCGGTTGTTCTGTACCGATTACTAACTTCGGAAAAGCCGAAATTATAGTGCAGGTTAGCAGCTTCATAAAAAGCTGAGTAGTTCCACCAATTTCTTTTAATATAGTTATTTAAAAAATTTTATTGGTTTTTTTACCGGTTATTAAGTTCGAAAAATCCTAAATTTTAGAACCGGTTACTAGTTTCGTAAAAATCGGAGTGTTGCCATCAATTTCTTTTACTATGGTAATTTCAAAATTAAAGTCGCTTTTTTGTACCGTTTACAAATTTCGACAAATTCGAATTTTTAGTACGGGTTATCGATTTCGTAAAAAGCGGAGTGGTCCCGCCGTTTTTTAAATGTATAAAGCACAAAAATGAATTTAACAATTTATTAAACAAATATTTTTAAGCAATAAGAATTAAGTTTAATAATTAAAAATTGGTTATTCGCAAAGTATCAAATATTTGTTTCCTAAATAAGGAAGTTTCTAAAAAGTTTCAATACTTTTACACATAATTAAAGAATATACTAAAATGGATATATATAAATTGTGTTCGTATCCAAATGTCTTCTTTTGGCGGTTATTGTCTGACTGGAATTTGAGAATCATGCTTGGATACATGTGTTCTCTTTCTTCATCTATTTCTTGACTATTGTGACTTATTGGTTCGAATTCATCAACTAACAAATCTCCAGCCCTATTTAAGTCCTCTGATGTGTCTAAAGAGATTTCGATGATAGCCAAATTGGAACAAGCATTGCCACGGCAGCTTCCTCTTACTCCGCAGAATGATTCGAAGGCTTCCATTACTTCATAGGCGACTAGCATCCCGAGCAGAAATCTCGCCAATATATTTTCCTTGTTGATACCACGTCCAGTTGATTTTTTCATTCTACGCATAAGAGTCTGCCCGACAGTGATATCAGTCCAGAGACCAGCCCATTTCTTATCTGACCTACGTATGCTGAAATAGTCTTGTGTTGTAAATTTCTCATACTCATCGGGATCCATACTTAGTTCGAGGTAGCAGGTTCATTTCTAGATCTGGCTAGACTTGGCATATAGCAAGGGACCAGCAGCATTTGTTGCACCACGGCACCACAATGGCCGCATACGAAAAATATCGAAGTCTCGCTTATAAAGATTACACTTCAGCTGGAAACTCACTTAACATTAGCTTTCGTATAGTTGAAATGACCATAATAAAAGAAATTACCGTGATCACTCCGCTTTTTTTTCATAATTGTAAACCGGTACAAAAAAACCTATTTCATTTTTGAAATCACTGTGAGGTGATCCTTGTAGGTGTTAAGTTTCAACAAACTACGACAATAAACTACATTTGTGCGGTAATTGATTCATTTTAAAAATATTTCCTGGCAAATTCAAAAATAGTTTTCTGAACATCATGGTACCATTTGTATCTTGTGTGGAATTTTTTCCAAGTACACTTCCATATAGTGGCTCTATTGACTGTACATATGTATGTACTAGTATTTAAAAAACTTTTACAGCTATCTAATGAAAACTGAATGTTATTTTAATTAGTTTCGAATTTCTTTTTATCTCGCCCACAGATTTAATACCTTTTAGCTGAATTTAATTAAAAATAAAATACGGAGCTACTCTCTCTCACATACCTACTACTCATACGTTTACTCGTGCAACAACGAAAATACGACTATCTCAAAAGCAACAAAGTCGCTTTGAAGAACTATTTATAGTTATTAAAGAAAATCAAAAACAAAAACAAAAACCACAAAATGGTGCTGGTATTGAATGGCGTTTTGCAGGACGATTGTCCTATGGATACAAACAGTCTATTCCTGCAACACCCCGTATACAGAGATTATGCCCAACAACTACTCTCCATACCGACAAAATCCGTTGGTCCCGTGGGACTACTCTATGTGGGCCAACGTGAAATGGCCGCTGCTGCGCCGCACGACAAGAACATCAACATTATTGGCGCCGATGATGCCACAACGTGCATCATAGTTATGGTCAGGCATTCAGGTATGTAAAGCGCAACAACAATAAATGCACATTGCACATATAGTATTTATGTACATATGTATGTATATGAATATTGGTCGTGTAAGCTAACTTGTCTTAGACGGCATTTGTTGCCTTTGTTCAAATTGGCTTCGTTTTACCAAAGACGTACGATGATTTTCTTTTCATACTAGCCATTCATGTAACAAAAGTATTTCTTATGTTTATTTGCCGTTGATCCTTAATAAGTATTTTTTACTTACATGCATTTTATGTGTTCTTTGTCGTCGCTGCCGTTGCATAGGTTCAGGCGCTGTAGCTTTGGCCCACTTTGATGGCACCGGTGTGGATGAAGCTGTTTGCACAATGGTCGCACGCGTTCAAGAGTTGGCCTTAGGTTATCCGGAAGGACGTATTGAGTTACAATTAATTGGTGGCTACCGAGATCCGCAAGGATATGGCGAAGACGTTTTCTATAGCATAATGCGTAAGTAAATTGAATTTTTTGTGGCAAGTGTGTTTATACACTCTTAATAATAATAGTATGTAGTGGACATTGCTGTATGAGGAAAATAAAAGGTTTCCACTGGCTTAAGCGGAAAAATACTAATATAAACTTTAAAGCATTGAAACCCAGATAAATATTTAGTAAGTTATCGAAATAAGGAAAATGAAGATATTTTTTTGGCGCATATTTTTTTATCAGTTGGCGGGTGACCCAAGTCAACTCTTTTTCCGTGGAGATTAAGCATTTTTTGTAATTCTTTTAAATAAATTTTTGGAACTACAAATTTAAATAAATATTTGACGCTTACAAGTTTGCTAGTGCTTGGCCGAGGTTCTCCTCGAAAGGCAATGGTTTTAATGAACAGTTTTTTTCATGGCAGAAATACACTCGGAGAGTATAGACAAGAAGGTAATAAAAGATAGTAGGGTAGAATTAGATCGCTGAAATAACTGCCCTGAGTTGGATAAACCCCGAGTCGGGGAAATGGATTATCATCAACTTAAAACAACTTCCTGCGCTATCGCTTACTTCCTATCAAGGTGCCCAGCAATAGAGATGTCATTGTTGAGATTCGACAAATGGTAAATCACCATACTAGGCCGGAATGGAATAATAGTTTAAAGACCTGCAATTCCAGCTCATCCTAAACCGGCCGTGAGAGAGGAGCCTTGTGGAAATACTACTAATTGGATGCATTGGAAAATTCTTCTTTTGATTTATGTGACTGGTCGACAATGTATTATGTATATTAGACTGCATCACTCCCCATACAAAAAAAACTCGGTACAATTTTTCCATTGGAATTATAAAATCTATTATATTTTAAGACGTCCACCAAAATATTTCGCAAAAATATTAAGATTTAAGTGAGCTGGACCGATTTGAAAATACCTTTTTTTCAAAAAGTTCTTTAAGAAACTATTTTTATTCATAGAAAACTTCCTTTTTGGAGGTATTTTCAAATCGGTCCAGCACGCTTAAATCTTAATATTTTTCCGAAATATTTTGGTGGACCTCTTAAAATATAATAAATTTTGTAATCCCGGTGGAAAACCCGCAACTTTTTTTTGGTGATGCAGTCTAATGTATATATATAAGGCTCTAACGATTTTGATTAAAACGGAAAAAAAATTTTTTTTAACTCACATCTCTCGTTAACTGAAAACCCTTTAATACATACACATATGTACATATGTATGTAAGTAAATAATAATTTTCTCCAATATTTCAGAATCATTCCACAAACATCATCTCGAGATCGATCTAACTCAAGCCTGCGTCGGTGAGCTGAATACTATACTGCGCGGCGACATAAACTACCCGATAATTTATGGGGTTGGCGTCAATATAAAAACCGGGGAAATATTCCCAGCAACATTCCCAGACCGAGGACCGGATAGGCAATTGCGTGATGCACGAAATTTTATGGGTGCACAAACGGTTAGTTTTGTTTTTTGTGAAAATTAAATTTTTATTTTTTTTTTCGCAGGCTATTCTATTCACCACAGCCATATTCTTACATATAACTTCTCTCTTTTGCAGGTACTGGACATATACGACTCATCGCTGGGCATGTTACGCATCGGCCCCTTTAACTATGATCCGTTACGTGGCGCTGATTTGTGGCTCTCGCAAACAGATGAATTCTTATTGCAACATTTGTCGACGAGTCCAGATGTCGAGCCGCCGCATTTCACTATGCAGGTAAGAGTGTTGGAAGAGATGCTAAAAAATAATATTTATCGCTTTAATATAAAAAAAATTTCGAACTCTTTAACACCCGCAGATACGCGCCACTATAAAATTCATACAGGATAATCAATTTCCCGCAATTACGGTTTTCCGGGACAATCGACCACGCTACTTTCGGCGCGATGAGACTACGGGCTGTTGGACTTTGGTTAGATATTAATTACAAATACAATACGTGCTCGCATATTTGCGTATTTGCTTAAAGCGAAATACACTTAGTGTTATTATAAGCTGCGTTTTATTTTACATGTTTTTTTTTTTTTTTTGAACTGTTGCTGCATTGACTTTGTATCAGCTCCACTTTTGTACTCATACATATGTAAATTTCAAGTGTTTATTTTTTATGCCTGTTTTCTTTTATGGCTTAACATTTTTTTTTCTTTACTTGTGTGCTTAATCCAGTTAATTTAGTGTAGAATCATGTACCGATTTTTTTCTTTTTGTTGCATGTAGATTCTTATTGGTTTATTTGAATTATATCGTTGGAAAAAGGCAGCTACCGGAGTATATATATGCCCACCCATGCATAAATAAAGATTGTATGTTTTTGAAAATGAGAGCTTATCATATGAAAATCATATATGATCATTATATGAAAATCAAACAAATTTTTCTAAATATGATACTACCGAAATCAATTACGAATGCGTGAATGTGCATAACTGTGTGATTTAGATAAACCTTAACACTTTTCTATGAACTTTAATTTTGCGGGAGAAAAAATGGTAATAAAAGCATATCGCTAGCTCGGATTTAGATTTTGCAAAGTGCGGATTTACTGAAGGTGAGATGATTCACCAAGCTCCCCATCACTCACCACTTTTAGAAGGGGCCTCCATAAAAATTTCTGAGAATCTGGAGGTCAAAACACCTAAACATCTGCTTCTTTAGGCCGAAAACCTAAATTCAATTGGTGTATATGGCCAAAAGAGTGGCAGCGATTTTTATTTCAATTTAATAGAATTAATATGACTTATTCCATATTTAGCTGCAGACAATTTCCGGCCTTGAGGGCCAGATTAGCCTAACTGAGATTTCAAAAAAAAGTTGAGGTGCAGCTTAAAATGCATAACTATATAGAACCGAAACGGTAATAGCCCGAAGCACGCCTTTTTAGTTTTCTTTTACTAAAAGACCGCATTTATTTTTTTTATAGATCTCTCTTTCTCATACTACTAAAAAAAATTGTTTGTTGATACTAGGCTTCTCTGGCCCTCATGGCCTGATAAGGTGTGTCTTAACAAATCTAAACTCAACTAATTTTCGAAAATTCAAACAATATGGCGTTCAAGAATTTAAAAATTTACAAGTCTCAGCTAAATTATGTTGGTAAATATAACAAACTTATTTACTCTACGTACCCATAATTGACAGTTCACATGTACATGGCTACTCATTTGGTTAAAGAGGACTAAGATCAAGTAGTTCTTAGCCCGCAACCATTTACAGCACTCAGGCTTACTCAGGAAGGCTTCAAGGAGCTGCTTCATTGAGCTATTAGGATGTCAGACCACTTTTGGAATTTGGCTTTCCTGCCTTGAAGAAGATAAAACAGCAGCACTTTTTATGCTTCCTCCCCACTACTGCCAGTGCAATATATGTATGTATGTTGCATAGCAGAGTACCTAGGTGGTGCTATGAGTTTTCAAAAATTTTCCCGTTTTCATGTTGAAAATTGACAACGAAAATTTATTTGTTTGCATGTTAGCGGTTTAGCGCGTTCTAAATGCTTTATAACCCGGGAAAAGGCAAAAAAAGTCCCTCTTTTATTGATAGGGCTGTTCAGCATGTTGTGGAAATGGTCTTAGAATTGCATTTGCAAATTATATACTTAAAAGAATATTAAAAATGGCTATCATTGAGAAAAATTACAAATTCGTTTCGAATTTTCAACGTGGAAATGGGAAATTTTTGGAAAACGAATAACACCAGCAGATAGCCGGTACAAAAATCTATAGGAATCATAGTTTTCCTATTATTTTTTCCATTTTCTGTGTGCTTCCTAGCTGTTCAAAAGTAGCTTGTTTCGCACCGCTCAGCGCGCCTGGGAATTTGACGTGAGAAAAAACAATATA